CTAGATCCCTTCAAAACTCAACTCAAATGGTACCTCCTATAGGAAGTTCTCCCAATTGCCCTAGTTCAGTGGTTCTCAACCTTTTAATTTTTTTTTCTTTTAATAGCACAGCTTTCTTTGCAGTGGGGAATTGTAGTACACTCAACATGTAAGTTGACAACATGATAAGACACTTGTATTGCAAATGCACAATTTCCTTTTAATAAGGGTAGCTATTTTTTGTTGAGTTCTTTTTGAGTTCAAGGTCTGACATTTTAATTTTCATGCATACATGTTATAGGCGAATTTTGTTCATTTTGAGAATTCTAAATTTACGGTACTTTATGTCCTGAGTAAGTAAAAGAAACATAAAGCAGAAGAACAACTATCAACCTGAGATCTAGTCTTAGGTTTACCTAAACAAGAATATGTTCTTAACATCATTCGTGTGCAATCACCGTTGCTAGCTGGAAAATGGGGAAAGGAGAGAAAACTCTTCACCACCCACTTAAGATGTCTCAGGAAGAGGCTGTCTCAGTTTTAAGTAACAAGCACCAAATAGAGAAGGAAAAGGAGAGAGAGGGTAGAGTCACTCTTTTTAAAGACTGCTAAATGGACTTTTCTTCCTAGATCGTTGACATATCCTCTTTGACACAGCCCTTAATCATTGAAACACATGAGGAAGAACCAAGAGCCTCTGGTCACTGAGTCCTTTAGCAAAGTCTGCCTCCATCCTACCTTTTTGGTTTTAGTTTCAATTGTTCTTCTTTAGACATTCTTCATTGCTTCCCCTGGGAACTGAATGCGACATAACATCTTCCATTGTGTTATTTACACTTGGGCACACCCGACATGTAGACCACACCTGTGATTTCATTGATATAAGAAGCTCCCAGGGAGGAAATTCCCTCTACTAGTGGACTCCCTCTTTGTTTATGACTTTCAGAATTCTTCTTTTCCTGCAAGTCTCGATTTAGGTGTTTTCTCCATCACTATGTCTCCCTACCCCAAATGATTTATGCCCTACTTGAATTTTCTTAGAGCACTTTGCCTGGATCTCTGCTTTGTCTCTTTTTAATGCTGTATGTTGTGCTCAAGCTTATCTATTTAACTGTCATAGCCCTTCTGTTACCTGCCCCAGCCCTGGTAGAATGCAGGCTTCTTAACGGTGCAGACTTTGTTTTGATTTTTGGGTTTGTTTGGTTTTTTTATCTCTGTTTTCCCAGTGCCTTGCACTTAGTGGGTGCTTTAGCAAATGATGGTATCGAATTAATGAGCTCTTTAACATTCAGTTTCGTAACACTGTTTTAAGGTGTTTTTATTATAGTTCTTAATCTCATGCAATGGGCTTGTATAATAAATAGGGTCATTAAGGCAGTTTTAGCATCATTGTTAGCAAGATATGTTTATTAAGCATGTAGTTGCCCAGGGGCAATACAAGAAGAATTACATAGACCTGCTTCCTGCTATTCAGGAGGTTACAGCTTAAGATAGACACACTGTATGGGCACACCCTCACACAGCATATATACAGAAGATTGACATATTAGGCCAAAGGCATGAGTGGGCAAGAAGGGATGTACATTACTACACACTTATGCACAGCCAAGCATACATACACCTTGGTCTGAAGAACCAGGAAACTCGGTTTTTTTTCCCCAAGTAACATTTAGATGGGGAAAATGAGGCACAGATAACTGTACGATATCCTGGATGTGATCTACCTAAGGCTGTTTGATATAAGGTCTTCTTCATTAGAAGCAGCTAGTAAGTATAGCAACCCTCTGGGCCGCTAGGTAGCCTAGTGGATAGAGCACCAGCCCTGGAGTCAGGAGGACCTGAGTTCAAATCCAGTCTCAGATACAATATTTACTAGCTGTGTGACCCTAGGCAGGTCACTTAATCCTAATTGCCTCAACCTAAAAAAAAAAGTATAGCACCTTATATCCTGCTCTGTCCTTACATCAGGTAACTAGGAAAAGACATTTTTGGAGATAAGAGATGAAATTGATATAAACTCTTATGTTTGGCATTTAGAGTTCTTCATAATGTGACCTCTTTCTACCTTTCCCGGGTTCTAATATTTTACTCTTCTCAATTCACTGGCGTCAGGAAGATTCATCTTCCTGAGTTAAAATCTGGCCTCAGACGTTTGCTAGATGTGTGACCCCAGGCAAGTCACTTAACCCTGTTTGCCTCAGTTCCTCATCTGTAACATGAGCTGGAGAAGGATATGGCAAACCACTCCCGTATCTTTGCCGGGAAACCCCAAATGGGGTCACAAAGAGTTGGACGCTACTGAACAACAACATTTACACCTTGGAAATTAGAAAATTACAAATCAGGACTTGATTTATTGTTCTGTTGATTGTCTAGACTTAAGATAGTGATGGAAAAAAATGTTACTAATGCACACTAACCTTAAAAAGTGTGTCCTGCACAGTTTGTGAAGAGTCAGTTGTAAATACTTACCAGCACACCCCTGGGGTTGGACTCAGTGACTTCTGTCTTCCATCTCTCAGTCTCATGGTCCTAGAAGTCTTAGTTCACTGTTCTTGAACTGCCATAGTAGAGATAGCAAATAATTTTTATTGGGTTGACAAATGAGAAACTTAGTGTAATCTTGTCAACCAGTTTCACAGACATCATATCATAACCCTTATAAACTATACTATGACAAGATAAAGAGGCATGCTGGTACTGTAGTAGATGGAGTGATGGAACTAGAATTAGGAAGACCCAGCTAACACTTATATAAAAATACTCATAGGTAGCATCTATGTAGTGTTTTAAAGTCTGCAAAATGTGTTACATTTATTAAATCATTTGATCCTCACAACAGCCCTGTGAGGAAAGTATTATTGTCATCCCCATTTTACAGATTAGGAAACTGAGGCTGAGAATAAGTGACTTGTCCTGGGTCACACAGTTGGTAAATGCCTGGGCCCAGAAGTGAATACTGTATACTGGGATGGGGACCCTGTGGCCTCGAGGCCACAAATTCCCCATTCCTGCTCTGTACCAATTTTGTACTCTATGCATTGGCCAATTGCTTGCTCAGATGAGACATATCAAAAGGTGGAAGGAGTTCCCACAATGCAAAACAATTCTTTTCCACATGAATTGATGGTCCAGTTCATCAAGGTGTAATTTATATGGTATGGTGGGGAAAGTTCAGGACTGAGAGTCAGAGAACAGGGCCTTGAATTCCATACTTAATCTATGTGACTTTGGATAGCAATCTAGACCTCTGAAAAATGAGGGAGTTAGATTTGATTAGCAGTTCTCAAATTGTGATTTCTAAAGGGGAACATAAAGATCCCTTTAAGGGAGTCTGTGAGGTCATAACAATTTTCCATCATAATACTAAGATGTATTCGCTTTTTTCACTCTCATTCATTCATTGATATGGTTTCAGATTCCTCATTGCAGCTAACTTTTAAGATACTACCATTTATCAAGTTTGGGTAAAGTATCAAAGAAGAAAATCCACAATTATCAGAAAAAGCTATGAAAATACTCCTCCCTTTTCCAACTATATATCTGTGTGAGGCTGGATTTTCCATGTATACTTCAACCAAAACAACATATTGCAGTAGATTGAATGCAAGCAGACGTGAGAATCCAGCTCTTTTTTTTAAAAGTTGGACATTAAATGGATTTCTACAAATGTGAAACAATGCCACTCTTCTCAACAGAATTATTTTTGTTTTGGACTCAGGTTTTCCTGACTCAAGGCCCAGTGTTCTATTCACTGTGCCACCTAGCTGCCCCAAAATTATAATAGCTGACTTCATACAAACATCATATTATACATATATTATGTGTTATACTATATATTATACCATATGTTAATGTTTACAGACGTTATATTCCATACATTATCTTATTTGATTAGACCATAGTGGATTTGGAGTTGGAGTTTGGGTTCAAATTTTCACTCTGCCACTTACTGGATTTGTGATCTTGGTCACAATCTTTCTGGGTCTCAGACTCCTCATCTGTAAAATGAAGAGATTGGACTAGATGATTTCTGGGGTTCCTCTCACCTCTGACTCTATAATCCTGTGATCTTCGAGGCCACCCAATGAAATAAGTGTGATTATTATATCCCTATAGGACCTTTTGGTGAGCTCACCTGGAGTCACCAATTAGGATTTGTGTTCTGTGAAGCCAGAATCAAGTGTCATAAAGACTCAGTGAGCTCCAGTGAGTTGTTCTAGAGATTCAGGTTGTTAAGGGCGGGAGGCCTTAGGGAGGGGACTGTATTACTACTGTATTACCCAAGTTCTTTTCCTTGGGTAGAGCCAGGCCTGAGTTTTTGCTACAGTTACTGGAATAAGCTGTGATCACATCTGAATGCACTTTCCCTAGTCCTCTACCTTCTTACTGGCCCCCATTGGGGTTCTCTGGGACTAGGGGTGGAGGAAACAGCTAGAAGAACAAAGGTGAGTAGTACCTTGCAATAAAACAGGAAGCCAGAAAAAACAGGTTTGTAAGATTGATGACTTTGGGGCTTGTGTAACTTAGACTCGGACTCTCCCTTAAAATTATTGACATTCCTGATTGAGACTTTCAAGTTGCAGACATTCCCAAGTGTGCTATTAGCTCATGGCTAGCTGGTTCACCATCTTCCTAAATCTCTGCTGCCCTAATAATCTCCATACAGAGGAAAATCGTAAGCTATTAGGAGCTGGAAGGGACTTTGGAAATTATAATATAGTCATCCCCCCCCCCCCCGCCACACACCACACACACACACACACTTCTCCCTCAGTGGATAAGAACACTTGGCCAGGATTTAGGAAGACCAAGTTCAAATTTGTCCTCACATACTAACTACCTGTGTAATCCCAAGCATGTTATGTAACCATTTTCTGCCTCAGTTTTCTCATCTGTAAAATGGGAATAATGATATCACCTATTTCTCAGGAAGGAAAATGATTTTGAGGATAAAATGAGATAGTATTTGTAAAGCAATTTACTATTCTTAAAGCTATTATTATATTTACAGAGAAGGAAACAAACTCAAGGAAGGGAAGTGACTTTCCCAAAGTCACACAGGTAAGTAAATTGGCTAAACCAGAATTCCAGCTCAGATCTCTTGACCTTCAAGAGTTCTCATTCCCTTGTGTTACATAGAGAGTCTCAGCCACAGTATGAATTAGATTTGCTTTTCTTTCAGTCTATTCTCTAAATCTTAGTGTCTGATTCCTACAGACTTTTAGCTAATATCTGCAGTATCTTGAATCTCATTGTGTTATAACAAGAAACCACAAGGTCGCCCTACATCATGGGTGTGCATCCTGTGGCCTCGGGGCCACATGTGGCCCTCTAGGTCCTCAAGTGTGGCCCTTTGAGGGAATCTGTGAAGTTCGACCTCCAGGCCGAAGGTTCCCCACCCCTCCCTTATATTGTACTTTTCCTAGGGTGGGATTTGGGTTGGGGTGAGGGTTCTCTTTTTTTAGGAGGGGGAGGTCTTTTGTGTTTTAACATGGTAAGTTGGGATGTTGCAACCACGGTTTCCTGACTGATTCCCTCAAGCTGTGTAATAATATTTATATACAAATGCTGACTCTGTCTTTCCACCCAGGAAAACATCAGATGCTATTGAAAATCTTTTGTGTGTGTGTGTGTGTGTGTGTGTGTGTGACAGAAAACAGAGGGCTGGGGCTCACACATGCCTGTCTCCTTAAGCTTCTCTGGAGAGTGTTCTTGGAGTAGAAAGTAATTTTGATTTGTGTTTTTCAGTGACATCCCAATGATGCATGCAGGCAAATGAAGAAATATTTCAGAGCCCAAAGAGCCCAGTTCTGTCCAGAGGAGTCTCAGAATCATTGGTTATTATGGACTGGGAAAAGGAATACATTTTTGAGGGGGTTAGATTCAACCTCCTCTCAGGCCATCCACATTTCAGATACGGAGACATAAAAGACTCGGCTGTATTTCTAAACAAGCCCTTAGAATTTCTATGGTAAATGGGACCTCAGTGACACTCTTGATTAACCCTGAAAGGAAAAGATTGGAGCCGAGACAAATAAAGCGCCATTGAGATAAATTAGTCAAGGGCAGACTGAATAATTGTTCTTCTAGTTGGCTGAAAGCAATACATAGGATAATTCCTTTCATAACCAGTTACCCTCCTGAAATCCCACCTCCTCCAGGAAGCTTCCTCCATCTAATTGGGAGAGTGATGGTGATTTCCTTGACATATGACCCTGAGGCCTCCCCCTTCACTCACCACCCCACTTAATGCGTTTACTTAAGGCATTCATGTATTTAATTTATGCATCTGTTTAACTGTCTTCTCCTGGAGTAGACAGAGAGCTAGATTTGGAGTCAGAAGACTTGGGTTCTAGTCCCAGCTCTATCATTTATCGGCTGTGTGGTCTTAGGCTGGTCTCTTAAACCTCCCCCCCCCCTTTATTTGTGTGTAAGATAGAGACAGTAACAAATACACCATCAGCTTCTCAGAGCTGTGAAAAACTCAACATGTCAACAACAACCTGTGATTTCCTGGGCATGGCATTGCCTCTGCCAACATCAATCCTAGTCTGTCTGTGACTTAATGGGCAAGTCTGAGGTATCTGTCAAATGAATTGCCCAGGGTCACATAGCAAATAAATCTCAGAGGTGGGCCATGAACCCGTGTTCTGCTGACTCCAGGTCCAGCATGCTAGACTCTATAGCATCTACTTCTCTGTTGTAAGGAAAGTGCTTTGCAAACCTTAAATCATATGTGAGTGTGTCATTTTACATATATGTATGTATATGTACCATGTATAATACATATATTTCTGTATGATGACCTAGAAAAATATATGATATTTGACTGGACCTATGATTTTATCATTGTAGGGCAAATTATAGTCTTAGGGAGCTACCAGGGCACTGAGAGATTAGGTAATGTGCCAAGAGTCACACAGCTACTATGTGTCACAGGTAGGACTTGATCTCAGGTTTTTCTGACTACCCACCCCACCCTCTGATCATTCCACCAAGATTTTTCTTTCTGCTCCTCCTCCTCCTCCTCCTCCTCTTCCTCTTCCCTGTCTTTCTTCTCCTCATTATCATATCCTTTTTCAATATAGGCTGCCTTTTGAAATTAAATCATCTAATTGTGAAAGTGTCACACAACTTGCAATTTATTTTGTACTATGTCTATCATTGTGGTACAGCAAGCAGGTATTTAATGAAGACTTTACTGAAAAAACCCGGGTCCAGGCCCACCTCTGACACTTTATTGTATGACCTGGGGCAAGTACCTTCACTTTTCTGAGCCTTGGTTTCTTCATTCCTAAAAAGGCAATGGTGATACTGGCATTACTTACCCCCCAAGCTGGGAAGAAAATGTTGAAGCCTGTAGAAATGTGAACTATTATGATCTGATGGTGTGCCATGCTTTAGCTTTCATTTTTAAAACCCATATTTAAAAATTTGTGATCCCAAGGTTTTAATCCAGGTTAATTATTATCTAAGCAGATATACCATTTTTTTACTCTCAATGATTTATTTCCTTCAGAGCAATCAGAATTTATCAGTTTGTTTTGTTGTGCTGTGGTTTCTTCCCTCTCTCCCTCCCTCCATTCCTTCCTTCCTTCCTTCCTTCCTTCCTTCCTTCCTTCCTTCCTTCCTTCCTTCCTTCCTTCCTTCCCTTTTCCCCCCTCTTCCTTCCTTTTTTCCTTTCTTCCTTCTCAAATGCACAAACATCTGGGAAGAGGGACTGAAACCTGAGTGCTTTCCTCTACCCAATTTCTCTTGCTTTGCCAGAGAGATGGTAAGCAGCTAAAGCACTCTTTAATTTGTTTTCTCAAGAGCCTGCTCCCTCCCCCCAACTGGAAAAGAAGACATCCATTTTCTAATGGGCTCACAGCTGTCTCCAGCCTCCGGAAAGGCATCCCCGGAGCAGTCGGTGTGAAGTGGGTAGTTAATTCCAGGCCTTCCTGCCTTGAAGTGTCCCTGGGACTGGGGGCTTCACTGCATTCCCTTCACACCTGGCCTATATGGGGGAAGGCTGCCCAGAAGAGGCTTTGAGAAACAGCCAGGTTGGTGGGAGGTGAGAAACAGACAAATGCCCGAATATTGTCCTCCTTTTTCTTTTTCCTTAAATCTGATTGCTTTGCACCCTCCCCCCCACACACTCCCCTCGACACCCCGTGCCATCCCACCCCCCTCCATAGACAATTTGGTCCTGGTATTCCACCTTCTTTCATTATCCAATGCTGGAATGCTTTCTATTGGAAGGAGATAGCTCTGCTTTAAATTTCATGTGTTAGCTGCAATTTAGACAGACCGTTTCGAGGGAGAGAAAAACAGGCACCTATGCACGGATGTATGCCTAGTAAATTTCAACTATTATTTTTGTGTATAACATATTGTATAATGCAGCAAGCCTTAGACAGAGGAAAATTGTGGGGCAAACAAAAGTTGCTAGTGATGGTCCCTAATTGCCTCTTTCGGCATCCTTAGCCCCCTGAGGCTCCCACCTCCTGCTCTCGTGCTCTGCCCCCACCCAGCTTTCAGGAAAGGCTTTGATAAACTCATTCACTGGGGTGTGTAAATGACTGTGGAGTCTTCCTGTGTTACCCCTCCCAGGGGTATTTGCATTTTAAAACCTTTAGCCAAAGGGAATCTCCAATTCTGGAATTGGATACTTCTTGGAGCTGGGTGGAAGGAAATGTGTGGGAGAGAGGAGAGGTTGCATCTCTGGAATGGCCCCTCATGGGCAAAGCGGTCCCCTGCCTACTTTTGCAGCTGGTCCTGCTTCTGTATCATGTAAACTCCATTAAAGCCAGGGCCATGTCACATTTCTGATGCACTCTGGGTACTCAGGAAATGAGAAACCCTTGCAATGATGCAAATTTTAAAAGTAGAATTTTTATTGTTTCATTTTTGTCAATTTTTATCGTTAGTATTACCTTTAGTTCAGTTGGAAGGACAAGGACAAATGTTAGGAGACTCATGGAAGGAGCATAGATTCAGAACTATAAGGGACCTCAGAATCCTCTTGTCCAATTCCTTCCTTTCACAAGACACTGCATCTCTGCCCCTGGGCATTTTCTTTGGCTGTCCCGCAGGCTTGGAACTCTCTTCCTCCTCATTTCTGCCTCCTGGTGTCCCTGACTTCATTCAAGTCCCAGCTAAAATCCCAATTTCTGCTAGAAGCCTTTCCCAATTTCTCTTAATTATCTTGCCTTCACTCTGAGTTCCACTTATCCTGTATGCTATATGTTGATTGGATAGTGTTTGTCCACATTTGTCTGCATGTTGTCTCCCATTAGACTGTTAGCTCCTTGAAAGAGAGAACTATCTTGTATCCCCCGCGTTTAGCGAAGTATCTGGCACGTAGTAGGAAGTTAATAAACCTTGAATTCTTTACTGACAGGAAAATGATCAGGAGCAGTAGCCAAGGTTACCTAGGCAGTGAGAAGCAGAGGGTGGTGCTCTGACTCCCAGATCCAGAGTTCTTTCAGCTTACCCCACTCCCGCCCCAAATTGTTTATTCTTTCTGTAGACTTCGATGACACTCTTCCTCCCAATCTATGGGAAAAAGGGAGGAAGGATCTGCTTGAAGTTTAAGTTGCTGGGTATCATGCAGACTTTCAACGATTCTTTGTTTCCTCCCTGAGTGTATTAGGATTGAAATCCTCAGCACCTATGGTAGCCAAAAAGAACAATAACAACAGTAATAAGTACAGTTTGTGTAGTATGCCAAGTGCTTTACCTACACTATATCATTTGATCCTTACTCCCTACCTAGATGGCACAGTGGATGGAGTACTGGGTCTGGAGTCAGGAAGACCTGAGTTCAAATCCAGCTGCAGACACTTACTAGCAGTGTGACCCTGGGCAAGTCACTTAACTTGCCTCAGTGGCTTTACCTGTAAAATGGGGATAATAATAGCCCCTAACTCCCAGGGTTGTTGTGAAGAGCAGATGAGATAATTTTTGTAAAGTAGTTAGCACAGTGCCAGGCACACAGTAAGTGCGTATTAGCTATTATTACCCTATGTTGTTGTTGTTCAGTTGTATCTGACTCTTTGTGACCCTATTTGGGGTTTTCTTGGCAAAGATACTAGAATGATTCGCCATTTCCATCTCCAGCTCATTTGACAGATGAGGACCTGAGGCAAACAGGGTTAAGTGACTTGCCCAGGATCACATAGCTAGGAAGCGTCTGAGGCCGGATTTGAATTCAGGGCTCCCTCACTCTAGGCCAGGGGCTCTTTCCACTGTGCCACCTAGCTGCCCAATTACCCTGTAAGGTAGGTGCTTTCATTAGTACCATTTTACACATAAGGAAACCAAAGCTTTAAAAACCTGCCTTACCCAGAGTCATATAGAGAGGCAGGCCACCGTCTTAGTCCTTTGCTATACTGCCACAATGGACCCTAACCTTCCTTAGCCTTTGAGACTCCAGGGTCCCCCTCACACTGGATGGGGCATTAAGGGATCTAGAGTCAAGTTCTTCTTGACTTTAAAGTCCTTTATAACCTGGCCTCAGCTTACCTCTCCAGGCTTATTACCCATAATACCCCTTGTGATCCTTAATGTCTGGTTAAACTTGTTTTCTTGCTGTTGCTTATATATGACACTGCATTTCCTGTCTCCATATCTTTTTACTTAAATAGAACAGACTCACTCCTTCCCTCTGCCTCTTGGAAACCAGTCCCTCAGTCAGGAAGCATTTATTAATAATGTGCTAAGTGCCAGGTACGGGGCTAAGCAATGGGGATCCCCCCCAAAAAAAAATTAATTCGTGTCCTCAAAGAGCTCATGTTCTAATGAGTATACTGTAGTCTCCTTAAAGACTGGAGGAATACCTACATGAGACCTTTCCTGATCCCATCAGTTGCTAGCTTCTCCTTTTCCCCTTCCTCCAATCACCCTCTATCTATTTTTCATAACTCTTAAGTTTGAAGGGAGGGGGCATCAGAGCTCATCTTGTCTAGCCCTCTTATTTTTATGTTGAGAAAACTGGGGTCCAGGAAGGTTAAGTGACTTGTCCAAGGTGACACATGTTTATTACCTTAGAATATAAGATCCTTGAAAGAAGGGACTGTTTCACTTCTATCTTTGTATCCTCAGTGCCTGACATGGTGCCAAAGTCAGCTAGATGGCACAGTGGATAGAGCACCAAACCTGAAGTCAGGAAGACTCATCTTCCTGAGTCCAAATCTGGCCTCAGGCACTCACTAGCTCTGTGACCCTGGGCAAGTCATTTAACTCTGTTTGCCTCAGTTTCCTCATGAGTTTCCTCAGTAAAATGAGCTGGAAAAGGAAATGGCAAAGCACTTCAATATCTTTGTCAAGATAACAGGGTTATGAAGAGTCAGACTCGACTGAACAACAGCAAAGCACAATGCCTGGCACATAGTGGGCACTTTAATAAATGTACCAATTGATTTATTAGTAGAGGATGAAGTTGACAAGTAAGGCCTTGAAATTCCATCTCTTCTCAGGGGACTCTGACAAGGCTGGCTGCTGCTGTTGCTGCTGATGAAGATTTCACATCAAGTCCCAACACTGTGCTCCAGCCCTGGATGCAGCTAGGGTGAGAGAAGCATTTATCCCACAAATATCCTTGTGAAAGAGCTTCCCATTATAACAGAAGCCTTCTAATAGGGACCAGGAACCTAGAACAGAGGAAACTCCTATGCTCACATTTCCCTTAAAACTCTTTATTTTTTCACTTACTCCCTCCCTGCAAATCTATCCCAGCCCAGTTGAATGACCTTCATTATAGTTTTGTCGACTGTTACTACAGAATCTTTAGGGAAGGTTCCCCACCCCTGTCTTAGGAGAATTCTTTGTTTCTAGGGGAAGCTTTGGTGCGAAGACAAGCCCCAAGTCCTCCTCTTAAGTTATCATTTTCCTCCAACTTAAAAAAAAAATTCCCTCAAGCCAACAAGCCAGGATTTGGAAGTAACCACTTGGTTACTCAGCCTTAGCCCATACCTACTTGACCAATATAACTTCCTATACCAGAACTGAGGAAGAAGATGGGGTCAGTCAGAAAACAGATGTCAGCTTCCTGGGAATGACAGAAGCTGGTAGGGGAGTTGTTGACAGGCAGGTGGGTAACTGGGACTAGGTAGAATGATTTCATTTCCCTTTAATTATAGTTTCACAAAACCCACTTGGAAGCAGATTGAATGTGGGAAGCCAGGTGAGCAGATTGAAGAACTGAATGAAACCTTGCTGGTTGGGTGAGGGGAGGAGCCCTACTCTTGTCCCATTGTTGGATCAGACCAGAATTTAGAAAGACTTTATTATCTTTCCATTTTTCTAAAGTTCTAATGAAGTGGGGTTGCATTAGGGTGAAGTCAAACTCAGTCTCCTTTTTAAATCTTTCATTTTATTTTTCAATTAACAGGGATTTATTTTCTTTTACTCCCACCCCTGCCCTCCATTGAAAAGGAAAAAAAACCAAACTTAACAGACATGAATATTCAAGCAAAACAGATTCATGCCTTGGCCAAATGCAGTCTACATCTTGGATCTATCATCTCTCAAACTCTCATTAAAAAAATATTCCTATTATTCATTTTCTTATTTAGTAACAATTTATTAAGTACTTAATAGGTACTAGGTACTGTGATAGAACAGGGATAAAAACTCAAAAACAAAAAATTAGGTCTTATCTGTAAGTAGTTTATAATTTATGGAGGTAGGGGGGTGAGAATGTGTACATAGAAAAGTAAATATAAAGTAATATGAGGAAGGCCCCAACGTAGGTGTGTATGTGTGATGATGATGATGATGATGATGATGATGATGATGATGATGATGATGAAGAAGAAGAATCAGGAAAGGCATGTCCACCTGAGGTAAGGCTCGAAAGAAACTTGAAGAAAATAAGGGGTTCTAAGGGCAGCTAGCCCTAGCAGCTAGAACACTGGGCTTAGAATCATGAAGACTCCACTTCCTGAGTTCAAATCCAGCCTCAGACACTTCCTAGCTGTGTGACCCTGGGCAAGTCACTTGACCCTGTTTGTCTCAGTTTCCTCATCTGTCAAATGAATTGGAGAAGGAAATTGCAAACCACTTCAGTATGTTTTCTAAGAGAACCCCCAATGGGGTCATGAAGAATCGGACATGACTGCAATGGTTTAATAACAACAGGGGTTCTAAGGGAGAGGTGTGAAAGAGGGACAAGAGAAGGAATTTGATTTCCCTTTCCCCAACTTCCCACCCAGAAAAGGGAGGCTATGATTGGAGATTTGCTTGGTGTAATGGAAAGGCTATTTAAGGACGGAGAGTAGGAAGACCTAGATTTCAATCCTGGCTATGCTCCTTAGGTGTGTGGCCTCAGGCAAGTCACTTCCCCCATTTTTCATTTCCTCATTTATATAATGAAGGGGTTAGAGATGACCTCTGACGCCTTATGTTTCAGTGATTTACTCATCTCTTCCAGCCAAGTCCCTGGTTTTATTTTTTGTGGTCCTCCTGGACCTGTAGGTCTGACTGGGTGAATGAACACTATTGAGGCTTCCGGGTGGGGGAAAGTGATCAAGTTTAGATGGCTGCTGAGTAGGGGAGCAGCCGCCAGCCTTCCTCTTCCAGCCCATTCAAAGCAGTTTTAAATCGGATTAGCATTTCAACAAACATGTCTAGGTTTACTCTCCTCCCGAGGGAATCAAAGGGCCAAGGAAGAGCCTCCGCTGTTTGCTTTTCCTTTATGTAGAAATTTGGGTTGTGGCTATGGCCAGCTTTGGCAGTCTTCTCTCTCTCGCCCATCTCCCTTCTCCAACTTAGAACTTTTCTCACATGACTCTGCTCAGTGTTGTAGAATGTCAGAGCTGGAGCGGGCAGTAGAGATCTGAGAGCCCCCATTTGACAGAAAGGGGGTGGTTTCAAGGTCACACAGGTGTCACTGTGGAGCCCCACCTGGAACCCACATCTCTTTCTGCTACCATGCTACCTCCCCATTCCTGTTTTCTTAGGGTAGGAGAAAGATGGCACCAGCTGCTTCTCAGAGGCCCAAGGCATTAAACACAGGAATCTGACTGCAAGTGTCCTTTCCACTCTTGTCCCTTAGCTCAGCTGTTTTGGTCACCAATGCACTAGTGAAAGGGAAGAATGCTTTATCATGTGAAATAAAGGAAACACCTTGGTGCAAAGTGGAAAGAAGGATATGGCTCTGGAAGAGAAGACCTGGGTTTCAATCCAGGTTCTGACGTTTACTACCGATGTGACTGAGCAAGTCCCCTTCGTCTCTTTTGTTCTCAGTTTCCTTATCTATAAAATGAGGGGGTGGGTAGTATTCTTCATCTTTGACCCTCTAGAATCATGTTTGGTCATTGGATTGATTTGAGTTCTGAAGTCATGCAAAGTTGTTTTGTCTTTATAATGTTGTTATTGTATAAATGGTCCTCCTGGTTCTGCTCACTTCGCTCTGCATCAGTTCATACAAAACTTCTCAGGTTTCTCTGAAACCATCCCCTTTTGTCATTTCTTTTGGCAATGACAGAAGTGATGGACTCAAGATGTGGACATCCAAGGACATGGCTAATATAGGATTAGTTTTTCTGTACTATACATAACAAGAGTTTTGTTTTCATTTTTTTCCTCAATTGGTGGGGGGAGGTGGGAGGGAGAGAAAATAAATACCTATTCATTAATTTTTTTTTAAATGAGGAGATTGGATTAGATAACTGAATGACCAGCCACTGAGGTCTCTTCTAGCATTAGATCTATGAACCCTAGATGCTTAAATATCTCTTGCCTCCATTTTAAAGGGCTAGTAAATAGAACTGACTTCCTTTCCCTAACCCTAATGGTAGAGAAAACAATGAAGATGGGAAGTCTTTGCTCAATGTTTCAGAGGTAGATGGTCTGGGTGGATGGCTACTGGAGCTAGGCATGCAGAAAGTATAAAGGAGACATTTTTCTCTCCATCTTTTCTGCTGATACTTCCCAGTCATTTCAGTGAGATGTTTTCCGTACATTCAGTTTCATAATCTTTTCTCACAACAAAATAATAATCCAAGACATTTCTCACCATTTAATTGAAAAAGACGGGCTAGAAAAAGATAGAAAAGGGAGTCTGGGAGAAATAAGATTTGAACTGTTACAGTTCTGCTAGTTGCCCTTCTTATAAAAATACTATCCTTCAGGCCCCAGAACCGCATCAGTTTTAGTTTGTTGGTTGCTACCTGGAACACAGGATTGTAGACTGAGAAGTGGAAGATACTTTAGAGGTCATATAATCCAATCCTCTCATTTTACAGATGAGGAAAGTGAGTCTCAGGGAAGTAATCTCTTCTGTTAAAATGGATTGGAGTCTCCTATCACACTTAGGCACAGAAAATACTAAAATGATCAAGAAGAGTGTGCGGCATGAATTCAAAACCAAAAGTTTATGTTCTGGGTAATTATAGTTATCCAAGTATGGCTCAAGCCTGTCCAGTTCATTTTCTTGGATGATGCAGGATGACTGTTATTGTCTCCGTCACTTATTGAGCCAGTCTGAGTACGTGGCCTCAATTCCCTTGGAGAATCTAACAGTATTAGGCAAGAATGAGGCGATCTCTGAATTCAGCCTTCTTCGCTCCTGTGGGTAGGGGTCCCCTTTGGCCTGGGACAGTATTTCCCTAAACCTCCAAAGAATTTCAAGATGCATTTTCTTTTCTGTATGTCTCTAAATCCAGATTTCCCAATATAGGCCTTCAAGTGGTACAACCATCAAGTTACCCCTGGTAGGTGGGTCCTTCATGGATCCTGATTTCCTAACTCTTCATTGAGTCTATCTTCCCTCTTGCCAGGGAATCTAACTTCCTTGTGGACAGCAGGTGGTGGCCCTTGTCTGGAGCTATTTTATAGGCTGGTAGTTTTTCAACTACTTGGTATATGGTGGCTCTCCACTGGTCAGTTATCTTGCTATCTTTTATTTTCTTTGGATATTAAGACTTCATAACGGGACACTTCTGGTCAAGATGATTGCCTGAACAGAGGCCGTCAGCCCATCTCCCATACAGTTACTCTAGAAAGAACCTACAAATTGTGCTAGACAAATAATGAATGATAACGTATAGGTAAGAGCTTTTTCTACCCCATAATTTCATTAAAAGTCAACCAGAAGCCCATGGGCCATAGAAAAGAGGGTTTCCATCAAAGCCGTTGCTAGTATAGACTAAGCATACTTGCAGTGAGACCACATATAGGCTGGAGACACTGGCCTGCAGAGCTCTAAGTTTGAAGGCAGCAAAATCAAATGACTCACACAAGAAAGTCCTAGTGTGGTAAGGGACCCAGAGAGTGGGAGCTGCTGGGAGTGGCTTTGACCAGTACAGGCAAGGCATCCTGGAGTCTGGGATGCCTAGCATTCTGTTCTGAGATATTGCGGAGGACACTGAAGATGTGGCACTCGGAACCTTGAAGATCGGTGGACTTAACCCTCGGAGGTACAAGTTAGTAGAGGAACCCTGGGGGCATGGGATGAGGCTGAGCAGGGTTGATTATCACAAACAAAAGCATAGCTCTGCCCTGGCACAAAGCTCTGTAGCTCTCCTAAAGCTTGAGAGAAGTATAAGCCAAAGAAGACACTGACAAACATAAATAAATCCTACAGATCCCCAAAAGGAGAGAGGAACTCCATAACTGCAAACAGAAATGTAAAGAAAAAAATAGATTTTCCACAAGGACTATATAAACACCTAGAAGCAATAGGTTTTAAAAACATCAAATAAATCTCTGTAGAAAAGAATATGAAGGAGAATAAATAGCTTAGAACAGAAAGTAGTAAACCTTATCCGAGTAACAGACTCCTTGAAACTTAGAAAAGCAAACAGAAATCAATGATTTTATGAGATAGCAAAATTTTAAAAATTTTAAGTAGAAGAGTATGTAAGTTATCTAACACCAAAAATAACCTAGAAAACAGATCAAAGAGAAATAATTTAAGAATTATAGGATTTTCTATAAACCATAATTTAAAAAAATTCTACATACTATATTCCAAGAAATTACAAATGAAAAATTCCCAGGTCTATTAGAACCTGAAGGCAAAGTGAAGAGAGGAAGAATTCCGAAAGAAACCCCAAATGGAAAAGTCCCAGGGTTGTCATAGCCAAAATTCAGAGCTCCTGCCTGCTTGCATGTGTGTGTGTGTGTGTGTGTGTGTGTGTGTGTGTGTGTGTGTGTGTGCTGAGAATACAAATACAAGCAGGAAGATATTCCCTGCCCTCAAGAAGCTTAATTCTAATGGGAGAAAACTATGTAAAAGGAATCTGAAAAGTAAAGGGGCAGAGCATCTCAAGCCCAAGCATGATAATGAAAATCAGGAGGAAAACCCAGGGAAGAATGAACATATGGCTGGCCTGGACATCTACCTTAAAATGGAAGCTTCTGGAAGGAAGTAGCCAATTAGAGGGAAAGTTACAGAGGTGGAGGGTACTTTCCCCAGTGTGAGAAATCCAGGGATGTGTATGTATGTGAGTACATATACACATACATATTCTAAGCAGCAAGAAAAGAGTTCAAGTACCAAGGAGCCATACTCAGGATTATATAATCAATCCATCAGGCACTGTGCCAAGTGCTGGGGATACAAAAAGAGGCAAAAGACGGTCCCTGCCCTCAAGGAGTTTACAATCTAATGGAAGAGACAACAAACACACATAAAAACAAGCTAGATACGGGATAAATAGGAAATAATCCACAGAAGGAAGGCACTAGAATTAAGAGAGGTTGGCAAAGCCTTCTTGTAGAAGGTGGGATTTTAGTTGGGAGTTAAAGGAAGGCCAGGGAAGCCAGTAAATGAGATGAAGAAAGAGAGAGAGAACATTCCAGGCACAGAAGATACTCAGAAAAAATGCCCAGAGCCAAGAGATATAGAATGTATTGTGAGTGGAACAGGGAAAAGGCCAGTGTTGATCAAAAAGTATGTGGCAGGAGTAAGGCATAAGAAGACTGGAAGGGAACATAGAGGCTAGGTTATAAAGGGCTTTGAATACCAACCAGAGCATTTTATATTTGATCTTGGAGGTGACTGGGAGCCCTGGAATTTATTGAGTGCATGTGAAATGGTCAGACCTGCCCTTTAGGAAAATCGTGTTATTGAAGGGAATAAATGTTTACATAGCACCACTACCAGGTGCCAGGTAAAGCAACTATCCAAGGTACTTTACAAGTATTATTGTATTTCATCCTCACAACAATCCTGCAAGATAGGTGCTATTATTGTTCCGATTTTACAATTGAGGAAAATGAAGCAAACAGAGGTTAAGTGACTTGCCCAGTAAGTGTCCAAGGTTAGGTTTGAACTCAGCTTTTCTTGACTCCAAGGTCTAGCCAGGGGTGGGGAACATGTGTGATCCCCAAAGGATTTGTCTTTGAAGTTTGGATTCAAAGGGCCGCACTTGAGGACATAGAGGGTCACACGTGGCCTTGAGGCTACAGGTTCCACACCCCTGGTTTAGGCTCTATCCACTGGGCCACCTAACTGTCTCTTTAATGGCTTCATGGAGGATAGATGGAAGTGGGGAGAGACTTGAGTCAGGCAGACCCTACTACTATAGTCCAGGTGTGAGGTGATGAGGGTCTGCCCCTAGAGTGGTGGCAGTGTCAGAGGAGAAAAGGGGGCTTATTGGAGAGATGTTGCAAAGGTGAAATCGACAGGCCTTGGTGACAGCTTGGATTTGGAGAGTGAGAGATAGTGAGGAATCCAAGATGACCCCTAGGTTGTGAGCCTGAGGAGGGCCTGGGGGGATGGTGTTGCCCTTGACAGTGTAGAAGAGGCAGAGAAGGCAACTGATGAGTGAGAGGGATGAAGGTCATTGAAAATTGGGCCCTGGGAGCAGCTAGGTGGCACAGGAGATAGAGCTCTGGCCTTGGAGTCAGGAGGACCTGAGTTCAAATCTGGCCTCAGACACTTGAAACTTACTAGCTGTGTGACCCTGGGCAAATCACTTAACCCCAACTGCCACACACATGCACACACATACACACACACACACACACACACACACACACACACACACACGAAAAAGCAATGAAAATTGGGCCCTGAAAGATGAAAAGAAGATAGAACAACAAGAAATCTAGTTTAAAGAGGCTAAGCATATTATAGGGAAGGTAGACAAGAAACAGAAGGAAACAACTTAGTAGTTGATCATTGAGGTAAGGGTGTGCTGGTAAATGTTTAACAACCAGCTCTCCAGGAAAAATGTATCCAGGACACACTTTTAAGTTAATATGCATTATTAATATTTTTCCATCACTTTCTTGTTGTTCATTTGTGTCCACCTCTTTGTGACTCTGTGGATTACAGCACTCCAGTACTGTACGTGGGGTTTTCTCGGCAAAGATACTGGAGTGGTTTGCCATTTCCTTCTTCAGTGGATTAAGTCAAACA